TCATGATAAATAAAGCTCTATTGTTGTATCATGAATATATCCTCATAAAGGGAAACCTAAAAAAACATTGTTGACATCAACTTATCGAAGAGTCTAGACAATTAAAAAGACTGAAAACGATAATAAGAATGGTGGGCTTTACAAATAAAATAAAAGTATCAAAACAGTAAACTCCAGGGCACTGATGAAATCCTTTTGCAACTAGAATAGCCTTGTAACTCCCAAAAGATACATCGAATAAATGCTTGATGTAGAAAATCCACTTAGCAACCAATAAAGTTTACATTGCATCTAAGGGAACTAGATCTCATGTATTATTCTGAAAAGATAATCATACTTTGGCATTGTCCAATGCTACTTAAGATCCTTGATGGATTGAATCGCAAAGAATCAGACAAAGCATTGAGATATAATAAATTCAAAATTAAGGTCATTTTAGTAATTGGCAATGAGAATTTTGTTCTTATAGCTACTAACAATAACATAAAGAGGAGAGGAACTAGAGATAAAGAGAAGGATCCTTGTTTCAGTTGAAAATTTTTTTGACATAGGCAATAGGGAGGAGAAAGGCACAACAGCACAAAGTGCTTGGGGTTAGGTTAAAGAGAGTTAGACGTAATGGGAACATCCACTACATAACTACCAAAGAGTATAGGTATGATACTGTAAATTATCTATTTGTAAGTAGAAGTTAACCTTAATCAATTACGCCCCATGGTTATCTCATGAATACATCCTCAAAAAGAGTACCGTGGGGAAAAATATTGTTGGCACCTAGTTTTCAAGAGTCCAACAATATTAACATTAAGAATAAAAATGAATCTAGCAAAGGTGAGCTTTACTACTAAACTAAAAGTATTATAATAATTAATACAGGACACTATTGAAATCACTCTACACTTAGAGAAGACTTGCACTTGTCAAAAAATTCATTCAGCAAATGATTAGCACAAAAAATCACTTGCAACTAATAAGGTTGTGTTGGGTCTAAGTAAACTAAGCCCCATGTCTCATCTAAAACAAAAGCATCTCCGACATTGTCTAATGTCACTTAAGATCATTTGATGGCTTGGGACATAGAGGTTGGGGCAAGGTCAATGGATGTAGCAAGCTAGGTGCTTAGCTACATCATAGTAATTGCTTGTGAATATTATTTCCGAAAATAACATAGACGGAAGAAGCGTCGATGGTGAATGGAGGAAGCTTTGTTTCAATTGAAAATGTTTTTGGCATGGTCAGTAGGGGGAAAGGAAGCATGGTGATGCAAAGATTTAGGCTAGGCGTATGGATAAGGGTAGAGTAGGGTTGTTTATAATGAAGATGGGGCATCAATGATGGGACTAGATAGGAGTAAAGGTGGTGATACCATGGATTATATGTATGTGAACGGAATGAGAATAAAAAAGGCATTAATGTATGTGAACAGAAAGAGATAAACAAAAGGACATTAATGTATGCGAACAGAATGAGATGAACAGGAGAAGTAAAGAAAAAATGAATTCTACAAATTTATATGTTGTGGCATATAGAGAGATATGGGTTTAAGACAAAGGCAAAAGCAGTGAGTGGGTACATAACCTAGAAAGACTCGAGGTAAGGAACAATTTTCCAATTTGTGAGAGGAATTGGGCTTGAGCAATGGAAAACACTGACAACTAAAACTAAACAGATTGGAGGAATTAAGAGGAACACAAAAAAGTGTGGCTTATGAAGAGAGGAGATGTTGTGTGAGGTGAGGGAGGGGTTGGAGATGATTGATAGAGCATATAACAATGGTGAATGCATGGAACCAATAATTTAGAGACAGTATATGCTAAAGAGAGAAGATAATCACATATTCTATGATGATGGCGTTCATAAACCCATTTTTTCAAGTGTTTTAGGTGGGGAAATAAAATAAAAGAAATTAACTAAAAATAGAGGGAGGGCTTGATATTATTCTTACCAAAACAGTATTGATAATTTTATGGCTGAAGGTTTTTTCACAAATGAATTAAAACAAATAAAGATATCATAGAATAGAAAATTTTATGATTGGGAAATCCAAACATGGTTTGTGAAGTGGCCAGCAAAAACAACACTATACTAGAAATTAGAAACGTGTCATGAGTGAAGTCAACACATTAAAAAAATATAATTTTAAAAAGCAAAGTGGAGAGACAGCGAGAGAGAGTTGAAAGGTAAAGCTTGTAACATTTTATGCATTAACACAAGTTAAAACTAAATTTCATAAATATTTGATAGATATAGATGTGTTTGAAACAAGGTGCCAAAAATTGGAAGATGAATGATGCCATAGTCAATAATGTTACTCAAATGAAGAAACAGCCTTAAGAATTACTACGGTTACAAATGAATTTGATTGTAAAAGTTGGCCTCTCATGAGAGACATCATTAGTTTTTCATGGTAAAAGAGTTTCAACTTGATGATAACCCTTCTCAAGGAAGGAAGAAAGCTAGAAATTCAATGGATATTATTTGTTAAATTAAATTGAGCGATAAAAATGAGAATATTTTTCATAAAAATTGATTGTAGAAGTTGGCCTCCCATGAGAGCCATTATTAGTTTTTCATGGTAAAAGAGTTTCCCCTTGATGAGAACCCTTCCCTAGAAAGGAAGAAAGGTAGGAATTCAATGGATATATTATTTGTTAAATAAAAATGAGAGATAAAAATGAGATTATCTTTCATGATAGGGACACAGAGAACATTCTTTACCGAAAAAGCATGAGATAGTATGTAGAGATATTTTGAAGCAATTTGCGTGATGAAAATCCATGCCTTCACCGATCATTGTTCTATTGATTTCATAATAAATAGTACGAATGTAGTCATTATGTAACATGGCACGGGCCACCTCTATCAAGAAGCTAGCTAAAAAAGTTGGATGTGTTGATTTTTGTCAGCTTTTTCTTGTGATTTCAATGGTGACAATGAGTAGTTTTCCCATTGAATTTGATTTGAAGTTGCATCGACTTCATCTAACGCTAACAAAACATATGACACTCGATAAGAGTGCAACCTTGAACATGAGTACACAACACCATTTGCAACAAACCAAGTAAGGTTGAGGGCAAAACAAATTGAATGGTGGTATTGGAAGATCGTGAGAGAAAAACACCGTTGGGAGGTTAGGATGAAAACAAGCATGGTTGATACTAGTTTCAATTGTTGAATTTTATTCAACTGAATTAAGAATTAATCAAATTTGCAAAAATTGGGGGAGGAAATGAATTGGAATGTTCAAGACATAGCATTAGTTATTTGTTGGTCAACTTCTTATGTATTTCATCAAAGGAAATTGTTGTGTCATAGCTGGTTAGTGTCACAAGAAGCTTTCAATTCTCATCAGAACCACCGAGATCTTCTTAGGTCTGTTTGGGGCAGTTGCATCTTATTAAAAAACAGTTGTAAAAATGCTAAAAAAAATTTGATGTTCAAAAAACTGTGGTGGCTATTGCAATTTAAAAAAAAAAAAGTCAGACCGCAACTAGAAAACAACCACAACACCTAGCAAGGGTAGGAGGGAACACGTAAATTTCAGCAGCAACTTTTTGAAAAACATTCAAAACGCAGTTTAACCAAACATATAACACTGCGGTGCGATGCCGCACCGCCACCCCAAACAGACCCTTAATGTGATCCTCGTTGGGTTTGCAGAGGTTTGCGAATTCATCAACACATGTTTTTATAATTTCCAAACAATTTTTGAGCCCTTGTTGGAATGATTGTTGTTTCTTTATCCACTTGATGTACCGACGAGAGTTCCCAACAAGATTGATCATGATAACATGTCGGGCATCATAAAAGGTTTTTAGTTAAGAGGTTGATGGATGAGCTGAAATAATCAATTAATGCATCAAAGAGTAATGTATCTTAGTATATGCATGATTAACATGTTGTTTTAGGACAACTGACGTTTCCTACAGAGAAACTTAATGGAGGAGCAAGTTAAAAGTCACTAATGAATTTATAGAGATTGTAGCCAATGAGAGTAGCTTCTATCTGAATTTTCCAGTATGAATAGTTGGTAGAGGTGAGTTCAATAAATTCACGTCAGTAACAAGAGGTTCTGAGAGTTCTTGTGTATTGAAAACAATGAGTTGAGTAGTTTTGTTAGCGAGTGTGGTAGTATAGTGCATGCCTCATGTGAGAAAGATAATAATGGGTTGAGCGGAGATCGACCTCCAAGATGAGGTCAGAGAAAAGAAATAAGCTTTAGATTTGGCAATGAGGTTTCAAAGTGGTGTTGAGGGGGCAAAGCTTTAAGGGACTAATAATGGATTAGGACCAATAGCTAGGGTTAATGGTGGCTTGACATTATTGATACTACGTAGTGAAATCTCATAGGGTATGCGCAGAAGAAAGTAAGGCCGAAAGACAATGAGAAAGGGAGAGTTTGGGTCAAGTCTCCGATACCATGAAGAGAAATGATGTGGAGAGTAGAAGGTAAAAATTCCTTTTCTATTATTATTATAATATTTTCAGCAATAGATGCTTGCTACAATTTATAGACTGTTTTAGGGGAATATAAAAAGAAAATATTAATACAACATTACAAGAATACATCCTCTAATCTAATTACATTTCTATTATATTTAGTTTTTACTTTTGGTCAGTCCATATGATCATTGATTCATTTATGCATAATTGACTGCTTGCAATTGTTCCTGAGGTCCAACATTGTGAAGAAATGGAAAACAGAACTGCAACATCCTATGAAATCTCCATTGCATGTTCTCATCAATGAATTTAGTTAATCGCAAATGCAAAACTAGAAAATTTCTTTCTTGTATTTTTGGGGGCGGGGGTTGGGGTGTAAAAAATGTGCCACTTTATCCTTAACTTCTCCTACACTAGAATATATAAAACTTTTGCCCCTGATTTAATGATAAACCCTTTCGCACGCTCAGTATACTATTTCACATAGCAAGAACAAGTGAACCCGATCAAACTGGATATCGAATTCAATAAATCATGACAACGATACAATAGCTTACGTCCGGGTGAAGGTGGCCATCGATCTCCGCCACCAGTAACCTCCATCGACATTCCTCCCCACATTCTCGGTCAAAATAATCTGCGCTTCCTGGCCTCCCAGTACAGAGCGCGGGCAAATTGAATGGTACAGATGGGCGGATGAGAAGCGGCTGATTCGCTGGCAACTGGAGTTTCTGATGACGGCCAATGCAGCCATCTGGAAAATGGAAAAGGGCGAATCGAATGGATGAAAGATGGAAGACGTGCAACTTAAGACAGAAAACCCGTCGGGATATGGGGTTTCCGTAGAGGGTTTTCAAGAAGTCGGAATGAACTGTGGTGATGGAGGCGGTTTAGTCGACGAAGATGACGACTGTGGCCTGTGTCGCCTGCTAGGGTTTATAAGAGATTTATGTTGGTCGAGTGCCCCGGTGAGAGTGATGGCGAGGGTTTTCTTGAGCTGTTTGGCTCTCTTCTGTAATTAGAGTAATTTTTATATAACCACCGCCTAAAAAAATTAATATAACATTTTAATCGGTTAATTTTAAAATATAACATTTTAAAAATTTATAATTAATAAAATGTTTTAATCACCTAAAATCACTCAGTCATAAATGGGTTTAAGAGAATGATTATAATAAAAAAGTGCTTAAATATTATATTTAAAATTAATCTATTAAATTTATATTAAATATTTTTTTATAATTAAAAAAGTTTTCATTATATGGAAGGTTCACATACATATCACTTAATTCTTACGTAATTATATATCTAATACCTTAAGTTTAATTTTTGCTTACATATCACTTTATTTACGTTTAACAAAATGGTTAAAATGTAATATTATATATTTTTATGATTGATATGCAAAACTCTCTTAATTAAAAGAAAGGTTTACATCATACTGATTAATTATTATGTATTTACACATCAAATATCTAAATTTCAATTTTTTTCATGCATGTCATTTTATCTGCTTATGAAAAAATATACTTTTTAAAAGTAAAAATGATGTTATTTTTTATGGGATATGAAAACCTGGGTGGTCTAAATTTAAAAAGCCAAATTGAGGTGTTAAATATGTAAATCTATAGGACTTGGGTGGCATCATATAAATGCCATACTAATAAATATATGAAAATAAGGGTTATTATTTTTAGAGATATTCGCCTATCAAACACACGTAAATTTTGATATTTATATTTTGAAGATGAAAATATACATTTCATTTTTAAATGTTAATGATAGTGATTTTCAATGTGATATTAATTTTTTTTATGTTATAAATGTAAATGTGTGTGTATGCATATGTATAGATAAGAATTGTATGGTATTTAAAAAAATGCCCCTACTTTTTATTAGTTCTACTTTACTTTATATGCATATATCAACTAAAATTAGAGAAGTATATCAATTAATTGTTTTATTTGAAAAATATGTCCCAAAGTGGCACGGATGCCATAGGAAAGAACGAAACACTATTATATGACTACATGTGTAGCTCAAAGAGGTGGGATTTATACCCGCTGAAGTGGTGCGGATGTCGTAGAAAATGAAGAGAACGAGAGGTTCAGCTTCAAAGCTGGAAACACACCAAACAAAATAACTTACATCTGTTTGAGTTGGGAGTCTTCTGACACCATAAATGTACTAGACAGCCATCATAGTAGAAATCTATGTTAGACCAGTCGAGTTAGAGAAATTTTGTGGGCTTCTCCTCGGGATATGCAAATATCAATATAGTTATCTACTATAATTTAAAGTGTGGAGACTCTATTATATGACTTGGGTGATAGACATGCATGCAGTCCATTTTAAATTCAACCTGAAGGTCATGCAAGAAAACTAAAATGTAGATTTTAATGTCTTGAATATTTTAATCCTAAAATTTTCATTATTTTGAATAAGTTATTAGGATTTTGTAGCAAATTTAAAATTTTTAATCCTAAATAACCTAAATGATACTGTCAAATTCCTAAACAACCCACACATGAAAACGGGTGAAACAACTAAGCACCCAAGCATGCAAAAAAAAGCAATAAAACAAGCCCAAAAAAATAATAAAAAAGATGACGCCGCTGGTCGGCTACATATCCTAAAAAAAAAAACGATCTAACTTCGTATATACATATTTGGTTCTAATTCTATGCATCAATATCAAATGTGAAATTAAGATATGGGATACGAGTTGTTGTCCTTGATCCTCAATCAAAATATCTTGGAACCCAAGCCTGTATCTTATTTCGCTACATGACTCTTCTAAGGACTTTAAAGTGTGCAAGTGTCCATCCCCGTGCATACAACGTTGTATGTGGGGATGACACTTACAAATATGGACACTCAAAGAGGCACCACAAGTTGGGGTTCCAAAGAGACACCACAAATATAGATGTTCAAAGAAACACCAAAACATGTCACATGCAAAGTATGCAAGGAAAAAATAGTTTACATGGAATGAAATAAATTATAGGCATCACGTTAAAAAGATTTTTCATACACATGCAAAGAAAACATGTAACATGCAAGAAAGCATACAAGCATACAAGTGATCGGTCGACCGAGTTGTGGACCGTAAGGATAGGTTGATCAATCCGGGATGATCAATTGAACCCAGAAGAATAGGTGATTAGCCCGGGATGGATGATCAAACCCAAAAGAGGTGATCTAACCTGGGCGGTTGATCGAACCCAAAGTAGGTGATCGACGCATAACGGTCGATCGAACCTAAAGGATCAGATGATCGGCTCAGGACAAACGATCGAACTCAAAACAAGTGATTGACATGAGGCAGTTAATCGAACGCAAGGATCGGGTGATCGGCCACAGCTGATCACACACCAAAGCAGGTGATCTACATGGGGTGGTCAATCAAACCCAAAAGATCATGTGATCAGCCCGAGATCGTCGATCGCACCGAAAGAAGTGGTTGATCGGGTCGGGGCGGTCAACCGAGCCTGGAAAATAAGTTCATTGGGTCGAGATAATTAATTTGAGACAAAGTGAGTGATCAAACCGGTGCGGCCAAAATATTGGGTGATCGGGCCAAGATCCTCCTAACACCTTACACTCGTCTGGGTCGAGAGCCTTCTAACACCATAAACGTACTAGACAACCACCTAAGTAGAAATCTATGATGGGTCAGTCAAGTTGGAGAAACTCGGAGTCTTCTCATCGGGACATGCAAATATGAATGCAGATATCTACCACAGTCCTAAGAGTGAAGGTCGTATTATATGACTTGGGTTATAGTCTTGCAAGTAGCCCATTTTAAACCTGGCCCGAATGTCATGCAAGAAACTAGGGCTGTCAATTTGGCTCGTTGTTCATGAACAGCTCGTGTTCAGCTCGTTCGTTAAGCGTAACTCGGCTCCTTCGTTAAGTAAACGAACCGAAAACGAACAAGTTTTTAAAGCTCGAATTATAAACTAGCCGAACGCTAACAACACTTTGTTCGCTCGTGTTCGGCTCGTTTTAACTCGAAATAAAAAAAAATATATTTATTTATTTTAAATCATAACACCTCATGTGGCAATGTGGTTAGTATTTTTTTTTGTATAGATTTGATTCAGGTTCGATTCTCACACTTTACATCTATTTTTCTCAATTTTAATTTAACAAGCCAATTTCGAGCCGAACACGAACACCAATATTTAAATCGAGTCGAACACGCACACACTATTCACAAGCCGATTTCGAACACGAGCTATTTCGAACGAGCCGAACACGAGCCAAGCCTGAGCTCGCTCAAGCTCGGCTCGTTTGCAGCCCTACAGGAAACTAGAAGTGCAAATTTGAAAATCCTAAATATTTTAATCCTAACTAAAATATTTTATCAAGATTTTGTAGCAAATTTAGAATTTTAAATCCTAAAGAGTTTGAATTATATCATCAAATTCTCTGACAAGGCACACATGAACAAGGGTGAAATAACAAAGCACCCAAGCATGTGAATGCAATAAAACAAGCCAAATAAAATAATAGGAAAGGTCAGGGCCGCTGGGTCTACGACATATCTCAGAAAAAAAACGAGCAACTTGACTCTACATATGCATGCTCGGTCCTAATTCTATATATCAATATCAAATGCAGAATTAAGATATGAGACACGAGCCGCTGCTCCTCATCACCCACCGGGTGATTCTAGTCCCAAAATGCCTTGGAACCCGTGCATGTATCTTGTTTCCGCTGCATGACTCTAAAAAGTACATAGAAAAATTTAAAAAAAAGTACTCGACCTACACGAAAGTGTCATAACTAGTATCTAAGTGCATATGACTATGAATGGGTCACACACTCGCCCTATCATAAGGATTCAAAGGATCTAAAATAAGTTACAAGAAAGTAGTGACATTTAAGAGAGGTGGCCTCATATATGGCCTAACATATATAGTTTTAAAGTGGGTGGATAGTACTTATAGTAGCAAAAATATTCATTTTTTAATACTTTAAAATAGTGGACCATAAAATGTGAGTTAATGATGCATGTGACATATTTTAGAGTTCTTAAATCATTAGCACAATCATAGTATTTGTTAGTCATGATACAAAAACTTGCATTGCTCGCCAAGATATCCTCACTGCAATGCTTGTTTGAGTATCACGACCAATAAATGGATCACTCTCCTAACGAGTAGGACAAGCCATCAAGGGGAATGTGCAAGCAAACAAACATGCAAAATGACCACATTGTGATTGTTTGACCGAAGCATAAAGATTCACAATGAGCGCCCAAAAAGGCAAAACACACACCATGCAAATGGATGCAATGATGCATAGATGCATACATGCAACATGTCACACACGAATGAGATGTGCAGAAAAACAAGCTAGCATTGAAAGGAATTATGCCTACTCGGGGGATTTGGGGAACCATGAGACAATCAAACATCGGCAATGAATGAGTTTGCATCAAGTCAAAGTATACTTATGAAAAGGATTTACACCTTACCTGGGAGGCACTCACCAAACGCACATGCAGACATGCAACAAGACAAATTAGACAAGTTAAGCATACAAAAATGTAACAAGCATATGAGAAAGGTCCAGTGTATGATTGATGTGCCCCTAGCATGTACTATTTTTCTGTGTGTTTTATGTCAGTTTAAATCTCTGGTACAGTGCCAAAAACCTTGACCCGAAAAACTTGACCCGTCCTGAAATTATGCAGTAATTTAGTTTTAAAAAATATGGCAAATAACTTGACCCAATTTATATTAAGTAGTTAATGTGGAAATTTAAAATGTTATGAAATATAGCAAATAGTTCACACACTATGGGTTCTATGCAAGTGCACATATCGCTTCAAGTAATATAGGACTTTCAGATTAAGCCCCAAATATCGATCCCATGAGGAAGCGAGGAAAGAAGACCTTAGTCAAATTCCAATCTACTACTAATAGTCCTTAGTTTGGAATGTCGATTAAAATGGTGTTTTATCTAGCAACTACTCCTAAATGC